GATCACTACAATCTTAACCTGTTCAAGTCTAGGGTTAAACGTTATCTTTCCAACCTATCCGCATAAACTTCCACTTACTCTGTAACCCTCAACCGTCAGTGGCCCCCGGGCCTTGTACCTCGTGAGCCAAACAGTAAAAAAAAAAAAAAAAAGTATTCTTTGCATTTCAGTTTTCCTTAAAATTGCCTTATTGTTCGGATGTTAAGTCTATGGTGTTCTCAATACGCATGTCTTGAATCACATCTTATTAATCATTTCACATCAAGCATGGCAATAAAGCCACTAAGACGCAAGGGATAACAGAGTGTTAGCGAATGTGAGAAAAACACTATTAAGGAGAGAGAACAATAAAAGAACAAGAATTAAGAAAACAGAAGATAATGATTGACAATTACATTTTTGAAGATTAAACTTGACTAGGAAGCAAGAAGCCGGAAGATAGTCCCACAAGTGAGAAGTGCGCTAGAAGAAACTGTTAGCATGGAACTTAAGGTTATATCGGGCAATTTCTATTGGAAAATGATGAGACATTGTCGCCAATCTAGCACTGTGATTTAATTCCTAAAGTCTAGGTACCATAGCGGAAAGTTCATCTGAACAATTACCATGAAAGTATTTATAGAAAAGTCTCACTAGAATTTGCATATCGTGGCGGGTCTTAGCCATGAAGGTTAGGACTAGTGGCTCACTACAATGTGCGTAGCGTGGTGGGTCTTAGCCATGTAGATTAGGACTAGTGGCTCATCACAATGTGCGTAGCGTGGTGGGTCTTAGCCATGTAGGTTGGGACTAGTGGGCTCACTACAATGTGTAGCGTGGTAGGTTTAGCCATGAAGGTTAGGACTAGTGGCCCACTACAATGTAGGTAGCATGGTGGGTCTTAGCCATGAAGGTTAGGACTAGTGGCTCACTACAATGTAGGTAGCATGGTGGGTCTTAGCCATGAAGGTTAGGACAAGTGGCTCACTACAATGTAGGTAGCGTGGTGGCTCTTAGACATGAAGATTAGGAAAAGTGGCTCACTACAATGTGTGTAGCGGTGGGTTTAGCCATGTAGGGGACTAGTGGCTCATCACAATGTAGGTAGCGTGGTGGGTCTTAGCCATGAAGGTTAGGACTAAGTGGCTCATTACAATGTGCATAGCATGCTGGGTCTTAGCCATGAAGGTTAGGACTAGTGGCTCACTATAAATGTGCGTAGGGTGGTGGGTCTTAGCCATGTAGATTAGGACTAGTGGCTCATCACAATGTAGGTAGCGTGGTGGCTCTTAGCCATGAAGGTTAGGACTAGTGGCTCATTACAATGTGCATAGCGTGCTGGGTCTTAGCCATGTAGATTAGGACTAGTGGCTCATCACAATGTGCGTAGGGTGGCGGGTCTTACCCATGAAGGTTAGGACTAGTGGCGCACTACAATGTGCGTAGCGTGATGCGTCTTAGCCATTAAGGTTGGGACTAGTGGCTCAGTACAATGTGCGTAGCGTGGTGGGTCTTAGCCATGAAGATTAGGACTAGTGGCTCATCACAATGTGGTAGTATGGTGGCTCTTAGCCATGAAGGTTAGGACTAGTGGCTCACTACAATGTGCGCGTGATGCGTCTTAGCCATGTAGATTAGGACTAGTGGCTCATCACAATGTGCGTAGCGTGGCGGGTCTTAGCCATGAAGGTAAGGACTAGTGGCTCATTACAATGTGCGTAGCATGGTGGGTCTTAGCCATGAAGATTAGGAAAAGTGGCTCACTACAATGTGCGTAGCGTGGTGGGTCTTAGCCATGTAGATTAGGACTAGTGGCTCATCACAATGTGCGTAGCGTGGTGGGTATTAGCCATGAAGGTTAGGGATGAGTGGCTCACTACAATGTGCGTAGCGTGGCGGGTCTTAGCCATGAAGGTAAGAACTATTGGCTCATTACAATGTGCGTAGCATGGTGGGTCTTAGCCATGAAGATTAGGACTAGTGGCTCATCACAATGTGCGTAGCGTGGCGGGTCTTAGCCATGAAGGCTCATTACAATGTGCGTAGCATGGGATTAGGGAGGCTCATCACAATATGCGTAGCGTGGCGGGTCTTAGCCATGAAGGTTAGGATTAGTGGCTCATCACAATATGCGTAGTGTGGTGGGTCGTAGTCATGAAGGTTAGGACTTGTGGCTCACTACAATGTAGGTAGCATGGTGGGTCTTAGCCATGAAGGTTAGGACGAGTGGCTCACTACAATGTAGGTAGCGTGGTGGCTCTTAGACATGAAGGTTAGGAAAAGTGGCTCACTACAATGTGCGTAGCGTGGTGGGTCTTAGCCATGAAGGTTGGGACTAGTGGTTCACTACAATGTGCGTAGCGTGGTGGGTTTTAGCCATGTAGATTAGGACTAGTGGATCATCACAATATGCGTAGCGTGGCGGGTCTTACCCATGAAGGTTAGGACTAGTGGCTCACTACAATGTAGGTAGCGTGGTGGCTCTTAGCCATGAAGGTTAGGACTAGTGGCTCACTACAATGTGCGTAGCGTGGTGGGTCTTAGCCATGTAGATTAGGACTAGTGGCTCATCACAATGTGCATAGCGTGGTGGGTCTTAGCCATGAAGGTTAAGACTAGTGGCTCACTACAATGTGCGTAGCGTGGTGCGTCTTAGCCATGTAGATTAGGACTAGTGGCTCATCACAATGTGCGTAGCGTGGCGGGTCTTAGCCATGAAGGTTAGGACTAGTGGCTCACTACAATGTAGGTAGCGTGGTGCGTCTTAGCCATGAAGGTTAGGACTAGTGGCTCATTACAATGTGCGTAGCGTGGTGGGTCTTAGCCATGTAGATTAGGACTAGTGGCTCATCACAATGTGCGTAGCGTGGCGGGTCTTGCCCATGAAGGTTAGGACTAGTGGCTCACTACAATGTAGGTAGCGTGGTGGCTCTTAGCCATGAAGGTTAGAACTAGTGGCTCAGTACAATGTGCGTAGCGTGGCGGGTCTTAGCCATGAAGATTAGGACTAGTGGCTTACTACAATGTGCGTAGCGTGGTGGGTCTTACCCATGAAGGTTAGGACTAGTGGCTCATCACAATGTGCGTAGCGTGGCGGGTCTTAGCCATGAAGGTTAGGACTAGTGGCTCACTACAATGTGCGTAGCGTGGTGGGTCTTAGCCATGAAGGTTAGGACTAGTGGCTAACTACAATGTGCGTAGCGTGGTGGGTCTTAGCCATGAAGGTTAGGACTAGTGGCTCACTACAATGTGCGTAGCGTGACGGGTCTTAGCCACGAAGGTTAGGACTAGTGGATCTAAGAAATATCGCCCGCATGAGTACTTTCAATGGAAATAACGATAAAATGCTCTGAGCGGCTTGCAACGTTTCATCTATGAGAAATTGGTTGTAGGATGGAAAATAAATTATCACCATCTTCTTACAGTTGATAGTCAATACTTTTTTTTTCTTGATTTTCTTTAGTACCTTTTCTAAGTGTTCACCTTCCGTGTCTGCCATCAACACAGTGTCATCTGCGTATCTTATATTGCTATGATTGCGCTCACCGATAATAGGTTCTATTAGGATAGTCTCGCTTTAGAGGTTGAATAGATCTTGCCGCTTTCTACTTCTGTCTGTCAATTCAATTCATTTTTTATGTATTCATGCGATTTGCTCACAGTATAACTTCTAGGTTATTCTAACATCCTTTCTGAATAGATCAAGTTTTCCTAACAGTTCAAATAGACCCTTGTGCCTTTCCTTGTGAAACACTTTTGTGTCATCTATAAGAACATAAGTTTTACAACGTTCTACATTTGCACTGTTCTCTCCGATATCATTCTAATATCGCATTTCATGTTCCAGGGTCGTTGAAAAAACCACATTTTCCCATTTCTGGTCTAATTCTGGTTCGCGCTCTATACACAAATATTTCATATTCAAATATACGCGTACGGTACAAGTGACGTCATGCATAAAATGTTGACGTGGAGCTAAAACACATCGGAAAAGGTTGTATCAAATATTTATACGTATTTAATATTATTTTTTGAGGGATATGAAATATTCTACATGGACTTTTAAATTTGTTTACTGTCATGAAAGATGCGGTTTATTTTATTTGCATATTAAGAACTTGTAGTATTTTTCATTTTTCTTTGTACTGAGTGTTATGTAGTATTTTGGTATGATCTGCTAATATATGGGTCACACACACACACACCCGGGCGCGCACACACCGACATGTATATTGTAGGACCATTATTATTATAAATAAATAAAAGTAAAATATAAAATAATAATAAAAATGAAAATTATAAATAAAATAAAATAAAACAACATTTAAATTTTGTTTAAAATAAATTCAAACAAAAATAATAAAAATATATATATGGGTGCATATATATATATATATATATATATGCACCCAAGTATAGGATTGGTACAGACAGAATAAAATTCCAGTAACCAAAAACACTATTCTTAAAAGAGTGCTCAATACAGAGTAGAGCTAATAGTATTTATTCAAAAATTATAAATCACTAAAATTAAAAATCACTACAAAAATAGCCATTTTGTTTCAGCATTTCTTACGTGTTGTCAAATGATGGTACCATCACTTGACAAGATGCAAGAAGTGTTATAACAAAATGGCTATTTTTAGTGATGTCATAACATGTTTATGTTATAATATTCGTATAAATACGATATATATATATATATATATATATATATATATATATATATAATTTTATTTAAAAATATGATTCCCACGCTACATATCTAGCGTTGGAATCATATTTTTAAATAAATAATTATATTTATGCTCTACTTTTGTATCGAGCACTATTTTTAAAAATAATAACAAAAATACTAAAGAACTTTAGATTATTTACCTAACGAGTTCTTTCCTATTTTCTATATATTTTCACACACACACACACACACACACACACACACACACACACACACACACACACACACACATATATATATATATATATATATATATATATAATAACTTGTGTAGCAATTTCCTATGTCACAAATTCTCCATCATTATTCTTTTGGTAACATTGTAATCACAATTATTCAGTGTTGAATAGAATCTTATTTTTGGGGTTCAATATTCAGTACTGAACATAAACACGGAAATGCAAAATCATAGTTTATTTTCTAATTGCAATACAAAATTACGAAAACGTCATTTTTTTTTTTCTTTCCTTTCACTGATCTTCCTCAGTTTTTCTTTTTTCTTTTCCATTTTCGTCATTTGAATGGTCCATCTTTCCTGTTGTTTTTTTTCATTTTTTTCCGTTTTTTTCCTTATTTCTCTCTTTCTTTCTTTCTTTCTTTCTTTCTTTCTTTCTTTCTTTTTTTCTTTTTCCTTTATGCTATTCTCATCTATCTCTTTCTCATATTCTTTCTTCTTTTCCATCTCTTTTTCTTTCTTTTCATTTTCTATTTTTTCGTTAATCGTTTCTTTCCTTCTGTTTCCATCTTATTCCTTTCTTTACTCATTTTCTTTCCTTTTTTCTTTTCCTCTTTTTTCTTTCTTTCTTTCTTTATTATTCTTAACTCATTCATATTTTTTATTTTGCTTTTTTACTTTCTTTTTTGTTTTTTATATGTTTTAATTGTTTCTTTTTTTTCTATTCTTTTCTCTTGCATTTCTTTCTTGTCCTCTTACATATTCATATTTATTCGTTCTTTCTTTTCTATTATTTCTCTCTTACTTTTTTCTTTCTTTCTTGTACTGCCATACTTTTTATTAATTCACTCATTCGTTCTTTCTTTCTTTTTATTTCTCTCTTATTCTTTCCCTTCTATCGTTTTCTTCTCTTTATTTATTCATTTATTTTGCATTCATTCTTGTTTATTTATCTTTATTTATGTTTTTATATTTTCTCATTTTTCTTTCTTTTTTTCTTTCTTTCTTTCTTTTCTTTCTTTCTTTCTTTCTTTCTTTCTTTCACCATTATTAATTCTATAGTTTCTCACTTTCATTTTTCTTAACTCTTTATTTCCAATTCTTTTCCTACGTACCTTGTTTTAACTTAACCTTTCCTTCCTTCCTTCCTTCCTTCCTTCCTTCCTTCCTTCCTTCCTTCCTTTCAACCTTCCTTCCTTCCTTCCTTTTTTCTCTACCTTTCTTCCTTCCTTCTCAACCTTCCTTCCTTCCTTCCTTCCTTTCTTTTTTTCCTTCCTTCCTTCCCTTCCTTCCTTCCTTCCTTCCTTCCTTCCTTCCTTCCTTCTCAACCTTCCTTCCTTCCTTCCCTTCCTTCCTCAACCTTCCTTCCTTCCTTCCTTCTTTCTTCCTTCCTTCCTTCTTCCAACCTCCCTCCTTCCTTCCTTTTTCTTCCAACCTTCCTTCCTTCCTTCCTTCCTTCCTTCCTTCCTTCTTCCTTCCTTCCCAACCTCCCCCTCCCTTCTCCTCCTTCCTTCCTTCCTTCCTTCCTTCCTTCCTTTTGTTTCTGTCCTCGTTTTCATCTCTGTTGTTCTCTGAGTCCACCAACAAAGATTGAAGGAAGCAAAGTCGTGACAAGAACCAGGAATCACAGACTCGCAGACAATCTTCCTGCGAGTGGAAGCGAAGACAAAACCGGTGCCACTTTGCCTGCCAACAGCTGTGAGAGGTTTGATGATGTCTTGGAGGAGGAAGACTAGTAACGCGTCAGTCCTTCGTCGTCAGCACTTTCATACCCAGAACGCTTTGCATACCGTCGGCGTCGGCTGCTATCTAATTTTATTTGATGGATAGGACAGCAGCTACTCCAACGCCCACCGGCTGGCGTGGGCGTCCGGTGGGAAGGTGCAAAGAATAGGAATGAATAAAGAGAAAGAAAGACAAAGATTCATAGAAAGAATGAAAAATACAGGAATTAAAAAAATAAGGTTTTATGCGACGAAAATATAACATGTATGGATAAGAAATACTAAAAAATAAGTCTGACATAGCCTGCACAGTGGGGATCTTACTCACTGTAATAGAGAATCTATCTATCTATCTATCTATCTATCTATCTATCTATCAGTGAAACCTTCCAAAGTATACAGGGTCGCATTTAAGTCAGTAGTTACTTATACAGTGTAACCCCGATATAAGAGACCCGGATATAAGAGAAACCCGGATATAAGAGAGATTTTATCAGGTCCCAAATTAGAGCCTGTGTTAATGTATATAAAATAGACCAAACCCGGATATAATAGAAACCTGGATATAAGAGACTTCTCCGGTCCCGACAACTCTCTTATATCCGGGTTACACTGTAATAAAAAAAATAAAACATTGAAGCAGGTGGCTTGCAGTTCGAACAGTATCGGCAATTAATTTAATATTACTTACCATGGCATTTTGTTGTTATTAACCAGAATTAACCAGAACCATTTTAATAGTAGATCTCTGGACTATTGATTAATTGTTTTGTCTTAATTGTTATTGTAAGTGACCGTATAGTGTCTTTATTGCCTCCCTGTATAAGACAACTATATCCAATCTTAACTCTTGACAACTGTACATTTCCCATATCGCGTATATTTGGCTGCGAGGCATGTGTTTTTTTTAACAATGATGTTCACCCTACACACGGCCCAAAAGGTAGAGTGCTATAGAGGCACAGTTTATGCGGAAATGTGGGAAGATAACAATTAGCCCTAGACATGAACGGGTTAAGATTATAGTGATCGAGGGAGCAACCTCTTGGGCGTCGGTTCCACAGAGCTGTGGTTCGTGGGAAGAAGCTGCTCAAGGGGAAACTTATATCTTGCCGATGGAATACGAAGGGAAACAGGGTGGTTCGCTACCATGTGCGTGGCATGGTGGGTCTTAGCCGTGAAAGTTAGAACAGATAGAACTAAGGAATATAGTTCACCTGAACATTTTCCATGGAAATAGCGAGAGACTCGCAAAGATTGGTCTGTGAGAAAGGGGTTGTAAGGTGGAAAATAATTCGTTGCCCATAAGGACGTGGAGATGGTTTTGGATTCTATCGAGACTGGAAATTGAAGACTGTGTAGCTCCTGCCCATATATGGTAGCAGTTATTCTAATCAGCCTGCGTATCATGATGTGCATATTATGCGTCCTATTTTGTGCCCTAGCGCTACCCATTCAGTTTACTGCTCTCTCACTCAATAATAATAATAATAATAAATAATGTATTCAGTAATAAAGTGTTGTAGCATGCCTACATTCATATAAATACAGTAGTAAATACTATATGTTGATCTGCAGTTGGAAATTCGTCTCCAGCTGTGCTGGCCAAACTCTCTGCCTCCTGACCAGAAGATCTGAACAAGGCTATGTCGAAGACAGAGTCTCGTCTCGAGAAACAACTACCCGACCCCGTTTTATACGGGGTTCAGAATTTTTTCACCGAGCCTACAGGCTTGATACCCCATTAAATTCGGCGTTGTGCCCATCTGACCGCGTGGGGCGGTTGGTAGATATCCCTGCAGTTGGAGATTCATTGTGGAATTCATTTGTCTCACTTCTAGCAGTTGACTCTTTCTTCTACGCGCCGCTGGCGAATCTTATATGTGTTGTTCGTGTCCTAAGTATTATCGTTCATTGCCAACGTTCGTGTGATTATTCTATTCAGTAACCTTCTTTAGGTTACAACATAAAGGAAGCCAACAAGTTCAAAATAGAGTTTCAAATGGGTGAAGAAATGCAAGTAAAGCATAATACACCAACTGCAGCTGGAAAATACTTTAAAAAGAAAGCAAAAGCAAATGTAACAAACCAGATAGAAAAATGATGGCAAGATAAAACCGCATCACGGCCAATACTCTGTCCGTACCAAACAAGCTGATGTAGACAAGCCTCGTACCCATCAGTGGTTACGTAGTGCAGGGGTAAAAACTGAAAAAAAATTTGTTTTTCCCATGTACAGCCTATACATTACGAAGGGCTTTATCTATGTAAAATATGTGTGATGTTTTTTTTCCAAACTGCTCAGTGGAAAATGACGCAATTTCTGACCTTATATCTCTGGCCGAGACCCGGGGAAAATAAGTATACATCAGAAATGAAAGATAATAATAATAATAATAATAATAATAATAATAATAATAATAATAATAATAATAATAAAACGGTGCCTCCTTATTGATATGACAGTTCCTGCTGACTGCAATGTATCTTTGAAGATATTCAAAAAGTTGTCAAAGTACAAGGACCTTGAAATAGAAATCTCGAAAATGTGGCATATGGGAACATAAACAATCCCTGTTGTAGTTGGAGCCCTAGGACTGGTTGGAAAAGATTGCAGAAGACTAATTGAAGGAATTCCTGGAAGTCCATGCCTCAAGGAGATACAAAAAATTGTTCTGACAAGTACAGCTCACACCTTACGAAGGGCTTTATCTATGTAATTTAATTTTTTTTTCTTTTTTTCCTTTTTTTTTTTTTTTTGTCAGTGGAAAGTGTCATGATGCCATTTCTAACCTTAGGTCCCTGCGCGGAAGCCGGAAAGAAATGTGTAAACACCAGAAATCAAAGAAAATAAAAATAATAATAACAATAATAATAACAACTAGTTTTAACCTGTGAAAATTTTACCGTTTTCTGTTTCAAATTTCTGATAAATCTAATTCTTATAATGATTGAACAAGCTCGTGGCGAGTTCTACGACAGTAAAATAGCCATAGAAATTCCCCTATTGCATTGTTAAATATTTGAGCTTAACAACATTAACAAAATATTGCAGCCACCATCATAAATATGAATGATATTCGTTATTTTAAGAACTGGGTACAAATGAAAAGATTTGAAATTGACAACTTTTTCGACTTCACTGTAACACTTTTATCTTCCTTTCTTTCTTTCGTCCTTTCTTTCATGTTCTCACTGAAACCAAGTAATATATGTTCCCCACATTCTACCGGAGCAAAATCCATTATTTGTGAGGTATTGGCAGGAGACGTTAAACGCTTGCTTTCTTTTTTTTCTTTTAGGCTATCGGACCCAGTCTATCCATATTGTTATTTAACCCATAGCAGGAAGAAGAAGAGATGGATTCATATATTTCTCAAGAGATTTTGCGCGTAAACGAAGAAACGAATTTAACCGGAATTCAAACTGTGTATTTCTCATTCCGAGACGATTGTGTAGCAGAGAAAAATCCACTGAAAATATTGAAAAATGGAATCGAGGGTATGTAGAAGATCTCTCGTTCCCTTCAGAATGGAGTAATGGATAGCGGCTTGGATTTAGGAATCGAAGAGCCGAGTTGGGAAAGGTATGACTCCTCTTCTCCTCCACCCAGCTATGGGTAAATAGCAGAACAGACCGAGTTCTATAGCCTTGTATGGCAACTGATCTACCGTAGAAATAAATGGCAACCTGCTGCGGGAAAAAAAAACTGCCTTGTCAGTCATGTATCGAAAGTGTATCGCGCATGGTACATAACTGACTGACTGATAGTCTCAGTGGAGTATGTCATCTCATCTTCAATCAGCCTTTGTCAAACTTGAGCAGCCAATGGAGATGTCTTGTCTCGGTGTTTAGGCCTGACGATCCATTTAGGTGAAACCTAGGTAGGTTTTCCTGGTTCCTTAGAATTATCTTGGGCTTGGCTCTACTTAGTATATTGAGCACTGTACGTAGTTGTCTTTTCACTCGTCTTGTGTTTTTTTTTTCTTTCGACTTGGAGCGTAAACACTGGACGATTGTTTTCGCCTTGGTTTAATGTTCTTGGTTCTTTCTTATTTTATTCCCCATTTTCCTCGAGTACCGATTTGTTCTACTGCAAGTCGAGCTATCCGAGGTTTTTCCAAGCGAGTACCACCATTTATTTATATATATATATATATATATATATATATATATATATATATATGCAGAAACGTCTCTTTCAAATACGAGTATGCACTATAATAACGTTTGACGTATTAAAGATATCAGATTTAAAATACATTTCATTAATTCTGCATTATATATATAATGACTTGAGATACGAGTTTAATTCTTTCCAAGACCGAGTTTATAACTCAAAAGATTCGTATCTGAAATTAATGGGAAAATATATTTACGACCCGTTCCGGTCCCCTAAACATTACCCTTATTTTCCTAGAACTCACCCCTATTTTCGTATTTGTAAGTTTCTTACAAGCAAGAACGTGCGAATAAACAAAAAATATAGTTTACAGACAATAAAATAAAAGAGAAAAAGCAAATTGTAAAGAAATAAAAATTGTACTATGTTCAGACGAGTCATGGGCCAACTGACGGAGTGGGAGAGAGAGAGAGAGAGAGAGAATAACTACCCTAGTAACCGCTAACCTAGCCCATGAACGGGTAGCCTAGTCTACAATACCGAAGATTAACTTTATCTCTTATTTTAAAATTTTTTTTTAAACATTTACATTTTTATCCATTACTATAACTAGCGTTTTTAATTATATATTTTTGTTATTTATTGTTGATGTTTTAGACGCTTATACTGTTTCGCCAAATGCATTACTCGTAAGTCTTCCTTTTTTTCTTCTTTTATAGTTTTTCGCTTTGCCTCAAGCAAAATTTTTATACGTTTCGGCTTTTCACCACTGTTCTTTACACTTACTTTCTTCGGACCGATGGTGCCTCGAAATGAATTTTGCAAGATAACAGTAAAAAAAGACACAACACAACAGAGATCTTTTCAAAACACGGGTACTGCGAATGGGAATACTTTCGAAGCTTGGCTCGTTACGTTAAATACCGGATATGGATACTTAACTGAAACTTGTTTTCTATCTCAAAGGCAAAAAGTCCCGAACTCCGGCTCGTATCTCAAGGCATTGCTGTATATATAAATATATATCGTAATGCCTTGAGATAGATATATATATATATATATATATATATATATATATATATATATATATATATATATATATATATATATATATAAACATAAAACATTAGGCAGCATATAATTTACATACAAAGAAATAATCACATAGAATCAATCAGAAGGAACACTTCACTCTATGGATTAACAGTATTTTAATGCATATATTAATTTCTAGCGATGGATGTCGCCAATGTTCGCATTAATACTGATTGATTCTATATGTGATTATTTTTTTATATATATATATATATAT